AGTCAGTCAGTCAGCCAGCCAGTCAGTCAGCTGGTTAGTTGTCTGTTTGTGTGTTGCGTGTTCAAGTGATGATTTGTTCATCTACCGCAACCACACGCGTGTACACACATATACCGACCAGTCCCCACACACAACCCGTGAACCCGCCCATCAGCCAAGGCGCAGGTGGCACCGACTCCCGCGTTGGCCAAGGGCCGAGCATCTCGAAACCTCAGACCACAAGGAGGGTTTGGGGTTTGGGAGCCCTCGCAAGGAGCCAAGGAATTGATGGGGGATGGATCGCACTGTCGTCTGCGTACGACACGCTCACTATCCCTCGATCCACTCTTAGGCGGGAGCAGCTCGTTGTCCCATGCCTGTGAGACGTTGAATGCACGAACCGTGCCATCCATGCCTTAGCTCAAGTTCGCGCCGTTGACGTAAAGAGGAAATGCCTTTGGTTGTCGCTCTCGCACCTGCCCAGCGAACAGTGACACCGAGGGCTATGCCACATGACATCATCAGCCCGCTGTAGCTGGAGGAGACAACCGTTCCCGTCACCTTCGCAACGCTTCGAGCAACAACAAATCCAGGTGCCTTCGTATGACCAGCACTGGATGCAACTTCAGCTTCTTAATGCTTCTTATGCATGCTAGAACTGTAAGATCTACGACACTTTACTGCGAATCGCGAACTGTGCAAGCGAACCTGCCATGACCAGAGCTGGCATTAGAACCCATGGCCTGCTTGCTGTGACAGCTGAAGACCATCTGGCAGTTCGTGCTTGCGATGTCGTACAACCACACCATGCCGTTGCGCGAATCCTGCTCGGAGGCTTTCAAGAACTGACAATGCTCAGCTAGCAGCGGCATCTATCCTTCCGCTTCGTGATTGTATAGCTACTGGCTGTCAGTTAGTGACAATCGAATCGGCGCAGTTTTGAGCGCTCCGATGACAGACATCTGCTGGCTTTCATTCTTGTTGCTGCTGTCACGCTTGTTCTGTACCAATAACCATCAGCAAGCCACTCGTGCACTGATGCGGCATCCCGATGCTTCATCTGTAGGACTTGGAGGAGCAGTGGAGACGCCCCCCCCTCCCAGCAAGCTACGAAGTCCTGAGAGACATCCCTATCTGAATTCGAGCTGAAGAATTGCACCGGCGTCCTGCACCAACCAAGTCTCCCCATCTGGGCCTGCAGGCTGATGCGGCACAGAAAAAAAGTTTCAAATCCCTCTAGCATCTTGCGGCCCGTTCCGCTGGGCTCCACGCAGACAGCCACATGCTGGATGTGGGCAGGGTAGATATGCTGCTCGCTGCTCCTTAAGCACGATTCGTTTGGTAGCTGTTCCTGTTGCGGTTGGAGACGAAGAACCGAACCACAACATGCGGGCTCAATGTGCTGAATCTGCAAGGGTTCATCACGGTCCCCTCCAATTGTCACTTCAGTGTGTGGCAACTTCATCCCAAGTCTTGCGGCTGAGTTAAGGACGGCGGAATGCGCACTTCCTTGCGCATGCGAATTCCGTACCTTGGAGATGGCCCAGCACTGCAGCTCCAATCTTCCACGAAGATCCCAGTCCGAAAGCTTCAGGCCAGGCAAAGGCCGTCTCAGCATCCCACTCCAGGATGCCATTATCGTAGTCCGCCTCGGCACTGTCGATCTCGTCGATGGGCCACCAACGGAGGAAGCCTCGGAATCGTTAAAAGCCGTGAACCTGAGAAGAATCCTGCAGGCAAGTCTAGGCGGCCCACCGTCGTCACCGCCGGAGATCACTAGGCCATTTTCCTTGTCGCTGAGGATTACGTCGATGGCACCCGCATGAGGACCTGAATTGAGAGGGTTTTTGGTGTCGACATGTGGCCATGTACCATCCACAACACATGAAGCCCGCACGTAGCCACTGACGCGAGCCGGGAAAAATCTCGCTGCGTGGCACTGCATGGGCTCAGCGCAGCTCTGCAATCTCAAGGCCCTTAAGCGTACAACTCCAGAGCCTGTCGGAACCTCCAAAACTTACCTCTTCCCGAAATCCACCCCAAAGGCCTGCAACCTTCCAACCACAACGCCTGTCCAAACCTCAACAACCTACCTGTACCCGGAATTCACACCAATACCTCTCGGGGCGCCAGCTTCCGGCGAGGTTTGTGGCAGCCTCCTGCGCCGAAGTGCCCTCTTTGGCACACATCAACTCTACCTGCGGAAGAGGAGCTTGCTTCCATGATGCAAAAGTGACTTGTGACTTCGGTGATATGTCAAGTCTTCGTTTTGGATCGCAGGTGACTTCTGTCTGTTCGTCCTGAGACAAGCTTCAGGAATTGCGCTGTGACTTTCTTGTGAAACAGAACAAAAAGTCACAACTGAGCCACAGCGAGAAGTCTCAAGTGATCTACACAATCTACACGCTTACGTCGAAGTCGCAAGGTAACCCGCCTACCTACCGTGAAGGCCTGCAGACCTCCTCATGCAATCGATCGGGCAAGACCCCGACCAAACGGACGACAACGTTGTTTTGGGTTCAGGACTATAGGCGTGCAGGGTTCAGAGCTTCGGCTGGTATCATCTATCCGTATCCAATTAACATCAGGATCAACTTTGGCATGAAAACTAAAGCCCCCTTGACGCAAGCCGCAACGTCCAACTCCAAGCTGGTGGGGCCTTGACAAAGACGCCTTCCCAAACCAGCAGCTTTCCATACCTGGGTAGCATGCATAGCGAAGCAATGCGAAGCTTCCCCGCAGCTCCAAACTTCACACGTCGCCTTAGGCATGCGAGCCTTCATTAAGCAGGTGTCATACGTCGGAAACTCTGTCTTCATCCTACTTGCGGCAACGGCTCAACATGACAGGGGCGCAGGCTTGGAGGCAAGCTGAGGGAGCCACTCTGTGCCCGACACGACTTTGCCATCAGGCAGCTCGACGAAACCACTGATGTCGGAGAGCTCGCTTGCGCCGAACTGCGGCATGAAGCAGCCATCTTCACAGAAGCTACAGCTACTGCTGCTTCTGCAACAGGTCCTCTACCGAGCAAAACGCGTGCTCAAACTGCACACTCAACCAACATCGCATTATCCAAGTGTGTCATCAAGCCTTTCCCAGTGCTCCCTGCAGCTTCAGGCCCGTGAAAGTAGTCGCCATCTTCCAGAACCTCGGCCGCAAGAGCAGCCTTCATCATGCTTAAACTAAGAAGACTGGTTAGGCTGCTGTCGCTGCCATTGGTACCATGGTACAGCGGGTACTTTGGCGGAGCAGGAGATGAGCATCACAATCATGAGATAACGCCCACCACCACCACCATCATCGACAGCCACCCCATTATGATTGTCTTTTGCACCACACCAACACCATCAACAGCATCGGCAGCAGCAGCAGCAGCAGCATGAACAGAATGCTCGCCGCCATCAGCAATATCTACACAGTCCTCCTGACAAGTACATCAGCAAGGGCTATGAATCAAGGGAGATAGATGGACGCGATCTGGCAGTGACAGGTGCTGGTCGCTGGCAGCTGTGGCCCCCAACCGGATGTGGCCGACGCCCACCGAGGTCAGCATGCCAGGGAACTGACCCCAGCGGATGCTAAAGACATCCTGCCCACGTTAGGAAACAGTCAATGATTCAAAAAAACTATTCTTCCGAATCGCCTGAAAGGCTTGACAACAGCTGCGGCTGCAGCATCCGGTCCTGACCATAGGCCTTGCACTTGAGGAGGAGCCGTTCGTTTCGCCAGTCCCACACAGAGAGCAAGTAGTCTGGGGCGCATCCTTGGAACTTCTTATTTTGACCAGTGCTTGGATCTGGCCGTTGCAGCAACCGACGTAGACAGTGCTCTAAGCAGCTGTGACCGAGCTTGTTGGTTTTTTCAGCCCGAGAAACTGCTGAGACTCGAGACGAGCTCAAGATACATCAGGTTTTAGCAACCACGCGACTCAAGCCATCCGTAAAATGAGGGCCGGGCCAAGCGCTGCCAAGTGGTTCTGGGCATCGTCAGGAGATTGCTCGTATAACTGCTCTCTGTTCTGTGTCAGCATGCACAGACCATGGCCCGGCAAGTTGGATCGTTCCGTGACTCAAGCAGCTCTCGACAGCAAGACAAGCACTACCAACACCCAGCCTTGTTGTGAGGGGAGAACGCCACTGAGGCGTAGCCCCGCATTGTGCCCTTTCGCAAAATGCGGTACAGCCTGCTGAGCAGAAAGTCGGAATGATGGGAATGGAAAAGAAAGCAGCATGCAACTCCGAACTCGCGCAAAATCGCAGAGTCACAACTTCAATTTTGCCCTCAGCCGTCGTCCAGTGAGTCAGCTTTGTCGGCGCTTTCAGCATCCTGAGCTTCAGTGCATGAGTCCGTTCAATGCTACCTAAGTACTTTTTCATCATGAGCTCTCCCTCTTCCTACACCGACATGCTCTGCTAAAGAGCGGAGGCCTCCCTGCGACACGGCAGCTGCCGCAGAGCAAGTCAAGCGAAGTTTGGATTCCCTTGTCTTGACCCTGAGGCGGGCTACGTAGGAGTAGCACCTTCGAGGGGCTATCGTTGCAATGATTCATCCGCGACTCTGCGCAGTCTCTTCCGTGTCTTCTTAGTGTATTTCTCCCTGCCCCACCTACGCCTCCCAGTATCCCTGTTGTTTCCGCGCTTCATGTCAGGCCTTGTCCCGACTCCTGCTCTGATGTGGCCTCCTTCCTCGATTAACTTCTGCGATCTTCCGCACCTTGAACATGCTTATAGGCCCTGCCGTTGTAGAAACCCCTAAACCCCAGATAAACCCGAAGCTACCCCTAAACCCTGAATAAACCCTAAACTCCCTAAACCCACCAAAACTCCCATTTTCCCTTCCCTTCGCCACCGGGCCACAGAGGCTGCGGAGGCCACCGAGGCGCGCTTGCCACGCTGGGCGTCTCCTGCCTCGTCTTGCCTCGCGATTTCCGGGCCATAAGGAGGGCTTAGAGTGTAGGGTTTAGAAGTGACACAACTGAGGTGTTAAAAACTTTTATAGGGTGTACAGGACAGAATAGGGGCGTGAGTAGGTAGAAAAGGGTTTTGGACCTGTAGGTTCGTCTTCTGAGGTCGCTCTGTAGCAACCATAACGGGATTTCATTACTCATTGTTCAGACCCCTATGATGAGCTTCCGATGTAAAGAGGCCCGTAATGAGAAGCAGTGATGCCCTTCCCAGTTGTTTTTGGTTTCCTTGTTGATGTTCATCTGCACCTGTTGATGACTCCATGATATTCATCAAAATCAGCAGCAGCATCATCGTCATCATCATCATCATCAGCAGCATTATCAGCAACATCACCATCCCTCGCATCACAACTCTCACCAGCATCTCAATCACTGTTGTCGTAATCATTGTTCCTGCTGGAGCTAGCTTGCAGCTGCTGTGAGCTTGTGACGCGGGTCCATTTGGGCAGAGGTAGCTCCATCTTGCAGCTTGACGACCAGGACGGCGATGCCCACAACGATGACAACCAATACAGCCACAGATATAACACTTTGCAATTCTATAGTACTATACAATACCCTATCATACTATAACATACTGTATAATACTATTTCTTGCTATATTATACTATTTAGTACGATATAATACTACATAATACTGCATGATACTATAGAATACTGTATAACAAACAGTTTACACTACTGTATATACTATATAGTACTATATATATATATATATTAATATATAACACTATGTAATACTATGTAATACTATGTAACACTATGTAATATTATGTAATACTATGTAATACTCCGTAATACTATGTCATACTATGCAATACTATGTATCGATGTTCTCTAAGAGGGAACCCTAAACCCCTCAACCCTAAACCCTGAACCATGGCCTGCTTTCAAGCGAGGCCATTGAGCCGGCGGAGTGCAGGGACATCGAGGTCCTGCCTGTGGCAGACGCGGCTCCTGGAAAGGAGCGGACACTGAGGGTTTAGGGCTTAGGGTTT